ATATATTCGCTTTAAAGTCTAAACGTTCCAAATGGATTTCTCTGACGGATTTCCGAACCTCGTATTTTTTAGCGAGAAAATCTCACGATCTTTATTCGTTTTCCTATAAATCTAATCTTTTGTTTTTATTGCCGTTCATTATTTATCTTAAACACGATTCTTTCTCTTACGAATGTTTGTATTAACACAGCGGCTACTTTAAAAGTGATATTCCTAGATTTTTCGTTAAGATAAACATTTTAAGTCGCTTTTCTAGAAAATAAAAGGGGATTACGTTTGCCCATTACGAAAAAATAAATGTATGTATCGCCATGAATCTAATTCCTTTCAAGTTAGATGAAATGCGCTTTAATTTGAAAATTATTAAAGACCGACATGGATTCGACTTGAGACATTTATGGATATTTCGCATATTTAAATGCAAATGCCGTTTCTTCGAAAAAGAATGTAATTCGACGACTGTTATATGAATGTATGCATTGTATATTACTTCAAACCCATAATAGTTGGTACATTTGCGTATACATTTCACACACTAAAAGTAGCAATTATTATGGGACAGATGCAATATAACATCAATAATGAATAAAAATGCCAAATTATTCAAACAGGCTTAGATAAAATATTCTTAAATTTAAAATTAATCATAATGTCATTGAAAATGAACACTGCCATGATTCATGCTACATCTGTCCCATAATAATTGTTACATTTAAATACATATTTCATGCATTAAATGTACCAACCATTATGGGACAGATGTAGTTTATTATTATTCATATAATACTACTTCTGTCCCATAATAATTATTCCATTTGCCTACACATTTCATTCACTAGATGTACAAATCATTATGGGACAGAGGTAGTCTATTATTATCTATATAATACTATTTCTGTCCCATAATAATTGTTCCATTTGCCTCCACATTTCATATATTAAATGTACAAATCATTATGGGAAAGAGGTAGTCTATTATTATTTATATAATACTACTTCTGTCACAATAATTCCTGGGTAAGACGATAAACTATATCCGGCAGCAAGGCCTCTGATTAGGAGGTTTTGAGAAGCGTGGAACAACCTCTTAATTGCTGGTGTTCCCGGTGTCGTAGCACCTGTCAGGGACCCAGCTATGGGCAAATAGTTAACCCCCAAAAGGCGACAAAACACTATGAAAACATAAAAATAGGTTTTGATACCAGCAATATTTTTTTGGAAAAAGTATTACGAGCAATACATTTTAAAAAGAAAAAAATAACAGCAATACATTTTTGGAAAATATTACCAACAATACATTTTTGGAAAAAAATATTACTAGCAATAAAAGTCTTGTCGGCAATAAATAACTCATTGAGGTTGATATACCGTAAAACAAACCAAATCATAATAATCGTTACATCTTCAAACATATTTCGTACATTAAATGTAACAGCTATTATGGGACAGAGGTAGTCTATTATTATTTCTATAATCCTACTTCTGTCCCATAATAATTGTTACAAATTCAAACATATTTCGTACATTAAATGTAACAGCTATTATGGGACAGAGGTAGTCTATTATTATTTCTATAATCCTACTTCTGTCCCATAATAATTGTTACAAATTCAAACATATTTCGTACATTAAATGTAACAGCTATTATGGGACAGAGGTAGTCTATTATTATTTCTATAATCCTACTTCTGTCCCATAATAATCGTTACATCTTCAAACATATTTCGTACATTAAATGTAACAGCTATTATGGGACAGAGGTAGTCTATTATTATTTCTATAATCCTACTTCTGTCCCATAATAATTGTTACAAATTTAAACATATTTAGTACATTAAATGTAACAGCTATTATAGGACAGAGGTAGTCTATTATTATTTCTATAATCCTACTTCTGTCCCATAATAATTGTTACATCTTCAAACATATTTCGTACATTAAATGTAACAGCTATTATGGGACAGAGGTAGTCTATTATTATTTCTATAATCCTACTTCTGTCCCATAATAATTGTTACATATTCAAACATATTTAGTACATTAAATGTAACAGCTATTATGGGACAGATGTAGTCTATTATTATTTCTATAATCCTACTTCTGTCACATGATAATTGTTACATATTCAAACATATTTTGTACATTAAATGTAACAGCTATTATGGGACAGATGTAGTCTATTATTATTTCTATAATCCTACTTCTGTCCCATAATAATTGTTACATATTCAAACATATTTTGTACATTAAATGTAACAGCTATTATGGGACAGAGGTAGTCTATTAAAATTTTCGGACGGGTATGCAGTAAATATTGGTGACAATAGAAAAAAAAACGTAATTTTCACACACCGTTTATCTTTAACCTGGTCCTAAGTTAAACTTTTGCCATAAATTCTTTGTTTCTCGCTTTTCTCTTTGCAAATAATCAAATAATTTCTATCGTTTGTTGGATCTGTCCTTTTTGCCTCGTTAATGGCCGTCAGTTCTGTGTTATCAATTGAATTTCATCTTTTGTCCACATCACAAAACAGACAGTATATCTCTTTAGGAATAAAGTCTATGTATCAATTCTTCTTATTAAGTTTGGACGCATTAAGTTCTTCAAGAATTCTCCATCTTTCTTTTATTCTTTGGTTAAAGAGTTATTTTAAGGAAAATTTATATCAATCAATCTCATTTCAAAATTTAATTATTATTTTTTTTTTCTTTTTGATCACGTAACTTTGTTGCATTGAGTTTGTTTTTGTCCCCTTGCTCATAATGGAATAGGTACTTTTACAAATAATCATTTGCCCTTTAAGACTTCATCGGACGAATGTGATGTTTATGTTGATACGACTACGCATGCGCAAGGAAACGGGACGCTGAGAATTTAAAATTCAAATTTAATTTTTTTAAATATCTGTTTTGGGTATATAGTCAAGGTGATTTTATTTAATTTCCTTTTTATTTTTGTTCATGCTTCCATCACTTTCGTTATTAAATATCCCACATTATAATAATAGAAAATCTGCCGAGCAAACTGAAATGTTGTAAGAACCTAAACGTAAAATTACTGTGAATATTCTAGCGATTAAAGCACTTTCTATACATTTTAAATTAGTAAATTGATTTCTTCTTTGATTAAAGTAGATTTTACATAAAAATTATTCCCAGTCCCAATTATCAGTCAGTCATGCGTGATAAACGTGATCATGTATCTTTCGATGTATGATTGACGAGGCAGATTTTTTTCCCCACAGTAGGTTGTCATTTTTTTCTGCGATAGAACAGGGTAGAGATGAAGAGTATTCATACCTTCCCCAAAATGATATTAGCACCTAAGTGAACATAATGGTGTCTAGTGGAATTCGAACTCGGCTCTCCGATTTTTCAATCCGAGCCGCTATCTGTTACTCCACCGTGCCTCCACGTCTCTTTGTGGTGAGTAACTAATTCATTGAGTGTGTTGTTTTGTAAAAGATCCCTTTTGTGTTCATATAATCTTTTATTTAAATATCTCGACGTTTCTCCTATTTAGTTTTTGTGGCAATTATTACAGGTGATAGAGTAAATTCCTCCTTCGATTTTTAGCTTATTATTTCGTTTTGTATTAATTAAGTCTTTTATTGTTTTAGAAGTTTTATGTTAAGCTTAGATAAAATTCTTTTCAATTATAGTTGTGATAGAGTTAGTAGGTAGAATAATATATTTTGATTCATTGGGTTTGTTAGAATTGACCACTCTCCTATTTTGATATATTTTTACATGTGCCCCTCTGGATTCTAGTGGGTTATTTTGCGCCTGTCTGGTAATGTCCCTGCGTTTCCAAGACAGGCACAAAATTGGCCACAAAATTCAGACGTTTGTGCGCGCACACACACACACACACACGGGTGCACGCGCAAATGCCCCAAGACAAAAAATACGCGAGGCTTATCTGACCAGTGAAAAACAAACAACGCAGAACTGGAACTTTCTCTTCCAAAACTCATTTCCGAACATTTATAATGAAGCTTTAGTTAAAGCGAAACATGTTAAATTTATAAATTCCTTATTCTATCATTCTCTCTCTCTCTCATATATATATATATATATATATATATATATATATATATATATATATATATATATATATGAAAAAAATTTGGAAAAAAAACAAACAAAAATGTTTAAATGCAATGATGTTTTTAAAACAAATAATTTTGCATTTAAGGATTTTTGTTGTTTTTTTCCAAATTTTTCTTCATTCTGTCGGATCTATATTCATTTACATTTTTATATATATATATATATATATATATATATATATATATATATATATATTATTTTGTTTATATTTCTGATATGAGCTATTGTAATTATTTACATTGTTCGGATGGTTGTCCTCCTTTATTGTCATGTTCACAACTTTTCGGCCGTCGTATGCTCCGGCCTTACTCAGGTGATTGGAATTTCGTAATGAACTCTTTATTTCATCCAACAGGATAGAAGTTTCTAGTTCCACATGCCATGCCTCTTCCGGATGTCTCCGTTATCTCCCTTTAACTCAAATCTTTTCGTTTGCAACTAAGTTTTTTTTATACTATCTTTCCCACTCACTGATCTGCTATCCACTGACACAGGAGGTTACTCGCTTTTTCACTCTGACCCTTTTGCCTTCAATAGGTCATGTGAGTGTCAAATTCTCCCAGCCCCCCTTTCTTCATTATATTTCCCAGAATTTTCAACCGTCTCTTTCTAAATACGTGTCTTTTTGTTTTCATTTTCCTTAAAACTTCCGAGTTACTCACATGATCCGTCTACTATATTCTGAGCCTCCTTCAATAAATCCACATTTCTGTTGACTGATCTATTCCCTTCATCTGTGAGAAAATTATTGAGCATCCTCTGTTATATGGGAATCTAATATTGCGTGGGAGTTCAGCATTGTTTTATTTGCTTCTTGCTTCATCGCTTCAATCCAATGAAAAAGAACTATTCCGTTTATAAGGGACACTGCGTTTATAATCATCGCCTCATTCCAATGAAAGAAAACTATTCCGTTTATAAGTGACACTGTATTTATAGTCATTGCCTAATTCCAATGAAAAAGAACTATTCCGCTTATAAGGGACACTGTATTTATAATCATCGCATAATTCCAATGAAAAAGAACTATTCCGTTTATAAGGGACACTGCGTTTATAATCATCGCATAATTCCAATGAAAAAGAACTATTCCGCTTATAAGGGACACTGTATTTATAATCATCGCATAATTCCAATGAAAAAGAACTATTCCGTTTATAAGGGACACTGCGTTTATAATCATCGCATAATTCCAATGAAAAAGAACTATTCCGCTTATAAGAGACACTGCACTTATAATCATCGCCTCAATCCAATGAAAAAGAACTATTCCGATTATAAGGGACACTGTGTTAATTATCATCGTTTTATTTCCATGAAATAGTTCTATTCCGTTTAAGATGGACACGTTGTTACAAACGGAACTCCTTGGAAAGCCCTTTTCAAACAATTTATGGAGCAGAAATCTGCAATAAGGTTTTCCGATGTGGTTCATGAACACACCTGATCTGTGGAGAGCCTCACCATATGTCTCTACAACGTCTAGTTGACGTTAAAGGACAGTTCTCCGAGCCTCATAACAATTCATTACCAGTTAATGTTTCACGGAACGTAATTTTACTGATTAACTTCTCTAAGGGTCACTTAATCATATTTTTTTGTCCTGCTGACCGGAGGAAACATTACTCGAAATCTTTTATAGTTTTCTCAGCAAGCAAGCAAATAAACATGGGAATGAACCCGCATGTGGTGAAACCCGCATAGTGTATAGGATGCCACTTAGCGAATGATTTCCCTTCCTAAATATCAGAGCTGTTTCTAACTGGGCGGGCAAAAGTATGTCAACAACCCTGACGCTTTAACAAAAGCCAATTACTATCGTCTTTCATTTATTCCCTGTTCTTGTCAAGAGCTCAAATTTAAACACAATAACAGGCTATTTAAAGCTTATCAACGCACGGAAAAGTCGAATTCGTGAGGCGTGTCGTCTCAGCGGGGTGTTTGAATAGTGTGATGGATAGCGCTGAGAAAAGTGTTATCGACGAGTTGAGTTGAGATTTTGTGCTTGTCTTTCGCGCTTACTTGTACATAAATGCCGTTGGTAAAGGCATGAACCCTTATCTTTATTCCCCCTTTTATTGCTTTCTACTTTATTTTTAGCCTTATTTTAACAGTTTATAAAACAGAGATCATTATTTCATAAGACAATAGATTTAACTGTCGAGATAAAAATCTTAGAATACTCAAACAGAAAATATAACCATGCAATTGCAGAAATAATTGACTACTGACATTATTTCTTTCGTTATAGGTAATACCTGAAAACGCGTTCATATATATATATATATATATATATATATATGTGTGTGTAAGCAAATATATGGATATAGATCCGACAGTATGAAGAAAAATACTGAAAAAACAAACAAAAATTCTGATAAGCGATTATGCTGTTTTAATGTTTAATGTCAACGTCGGACGTTTCGGTCTAATAAACCATCTTCAGGCCATATTCATAAACCATAATTAACATAGACCATATACAATTCAACATGAAAAAGACGATGGACATAAAAGCAAGACCAATCCAAACAGATAACTGAAATCTTTTATAAGATCAGCGTTCCGTTTAAATATGATCACGTCGTCGTCACGTGGGTGATGTTGTGAAAACGTATTCCTAAAAGTTGAGTATTTTGAATGAAAAATGAAAAGAATTTTATTTTAATCTAAAACTTATATGTACGTTTGTCGAGCATTAATCTTGCTAGAAAAGGGGAAATATTAAAGAAGCCAGGTCTAGTGTTCACCGTGCGTGAGATAGATATTATGCCTGCTTCATAAATCCGCTTAAGATTTTTATTATGAAAATATTTAAACGGAACGCTGATCTTATAAAAGATTTCAGTTATCTATTTGGATTAGTATTGCTTTTATGTCCATCGTCTTTTTCATGTTGAATTGTATATGGTCTATGTTAATTATGGTTTATGAATATGGCCTGAAGATGGTCTATTAGACCGAAACGTCCGACGTTGACATTAAACATTAAAACAGCATAAATGCAAATTAGGATTTTTGTTTGTTTTTTCAGTATTTTTTTCATATATATATATATATATATATATATTCGAATCTCACCACAGTTGATTTGACGAGGAGAATTCCTGATGTTATCGGTTTTTATCGATCCCAGCGGCACCTTTGGAAAGTGCCTGAAAACTATGCCACGGGTTGATCCAAGCCTTGTGAATGAAATTGGGTAGACGGAATACTTGGTGGCCGTCGACGGTTCGAATGCCTGGCTATATATATATATATATATATATATATATATATATATATATATATATATATATAATTCTCAAAATGTGTCTGTATATATGTGTGTGTGATTGGATGCTGCCTATGCGTTTCCACAGTTTTCATCCGATTTCAGTTAATTTTTTTGTTTGATAGATAATTCTTCAGTGCCGGTTTTGAGTCCAAATTGTTGCTGAAAGTGGCTCTCCACTACTTCCTATCCATTATAACTCTCAACAACGTTTTACTATTTACTATTTGTTCTTGGATGTATGTCTTTCATAAAAACTTTAATAAAAATAAATAGTTTAAATTATTACAATAGTATTATTTATTATAGTTAATTTATATAATTAATGATCTATATCTATAATTCTCAAAACGTGTTTGTGCGTATGTGTGTGCGCGCGCACGATCGGAAGTTATTCATGCGTTACCACAGTTTTCATCTGATTTCGATGAAATTATTTTTTGTTTGATAGATAATTCTTCAGTGTCGGTTTTGAGTCCAAATTGGCGGGAAAAAATTACAACCTTGAAGATGAAAAATCGAAAAAACTGATTTTTTTACACTTTGCGCAAAAATCAAAGGTAAAATTTAATTTACTTTTTCATACTTAAAACTGCCGCTCAAAGGACTCGACGGCTGCGCGTGATTGAGAACGAAAAAACAGTCCTTTTCAGGGCCACCCGTCATTCGCATTGTTACCCCACCCCTCCCATTTTGCACCCAAATGTTGTTACTAATATTGATTTTTGGGTGGGCTGACTTTAAACTTAAACTGCTCCAACTGAACGGCAAAAATTCCCAGTAATGAAAGACCCGGTCGAAGGCAGGTTATACTCCTAGTATATATATATGGTAAAGGTAACAAATCCGTTGGTATATAATCCAGGTGGATCCTAGTAATATAAAATATTAAAACTGATCCACAAAAAGTGCTCAATGTATTGATAAATAATTAATAAACCTTAAAATCCAAAATCACCTCCTATTTCGGCAGACGAAAATATAGGTTGTTTGTCTTATCAACCCCGGTGTTCGTGCCAGAAATAGAAATATAACTGTGAAAGCTAAAAAAAAAAAAAATTATATATCAATAACAGTATTGAGGAGAGATAAGATAGTTTTCTTTCATTGGAATGAAAGATAAAGAGGTAAGACAGAACGAAAAAATTTGGGTTTGTTGAAGTCAAAAAATCCAGTTCAATGAAGTCTGTATGTATATATATATATATGTCAGCGTTATGATTTTTGTAACCCTATATAACCTGTCATAAATTGACGAACAAAAGTAATGAAAAAGGCATTAATTTGTTTTCGATCTTGAAAATGATAACACCGAAAAGGAAAATTCGATTTTACCATCTCCGCAATAAAGGTAAAAGATCATTCATTGATTTTTCAATTTGCTAATTATATAACTGGATAGTACTTATGTATTATTAACGTAATTAACAGTTTATATCTATAGCATAACATATAAAGTTACCAATAAGCGAAAACAAGCTATAGAAAGTTTCCTCAAGTTCGAGAAGGCACCAAAAAGTGATAGTGATTCTATAACTATATACAATTTTAGAAATCGTGTATATTCCGTAGACGAACCTTATTGTAATCATTCGATCAACTCGTCAGAAGGTTTATATATATATATATATATATATATATATATATATATATATATTTGTCTGGCTCACTAGGTGTATCTAGGTCTGCTCTACGGTTGTATTGAGCTCTTTTGTTAGTTGTTACTCGTATCGGGGTTTTTTCTTTGGGCTTCAGACCTGCATCTGTGCGATTTTTTTTGTCGGCAGAAGTTCATGTTTGTAGCTCTTTCTTTTTTTTAAAACCTTTTTTCCCTCGAGATTGATTTGATTAGCAAATCAAAAATTCGAGGGTTTTTCGAAACGAGTCTAGTTTATATATATATATATATATATATATATATATATATATATATATATATATATATATATATATATTAATTAGCACTTCTAGGCATAAAACTATCTTTAACTATCAAATGCAACACATCAGGCGATTGTAAATTACTAGCGAGCAATTTACAATCGCCTGATGAGATACATTTGATACGCATCGAAACACGACTGGAATTGTGTAGCGATTTTGACATGTTTTCGGTGTAATATATATATATATATATATATATATATATATATATATATATATATATATATAAATTATTAACTTCACTAATCTGTTTTTATGTATGAATGATTCATGTAATATAAATTGAACTGCACCAGATATTGGATTTAAAAAGAACTGATCCGACGTGCAACTTTCGGGATAATAGCTGCGACATTGCTCTATTTATTGAACAATTTAATTCATGCCACATCGACTGAAAAAAAACTACTACAACAAAACAATTCTCCAATTACCATTTTAGTAAAAAAACGCACTCTCTCTTAAATTTTCAAAAAATTCAACCTTAGCGTTGCGACCGCACGCCCCAGAATTTCTTACAGTTAACTATAACACATTTCTAAAAAACATATTTCCATTCACGTCTAATCTTTTGTGTCTCGTTATTACCTGGATGGATTTTTAAAAAAATATCAATTTCCATGCCTGATGATGTCTGTATGAAGAGATGAAAGTACTAGCAAAAAAAGACCTTATACAAGTTGAATTTATTAAAAACAGGGATCACAACATTCATCTAGAGGTTCGTGGGTTAATGTAATTTTAATAAATTTGTTTGCGAAGATGTATTCTCGTCATTTATATCATTAACTGCACTAATCTGCTTTTGTATGAATGATTCATGATGTATATATATATATATATATATATATATATATATATATATATATATATATATATAAAGAGAAAGAACAGACAGATTTAAGAATCCACAGTTCATAGCATTTACTTTTGTAAAAAAAAAAGTGTTTAATAAAACGTAGAGCAATATATTATTATAAGATTTTTATTATAATA